CGGGGTGAATCTCGGACCCGGAGCCTCGGACGACCCGCGCCGTCCGTGGGGCATCCGAGGGGCCGTGACCTCTGACCCGGCCCGGGGTCACTCACCGGCCTCGCTCTGGTTGTAGTAGCGGAGCGCGGTCCGCAGGTTCTCCCGGAAAGTCTGTGCGTTCCCCTTGCAGTTCCGTGTCTGCTCGTCCCAGTACTCCGGCCCCTCCCGCTCCACCCACGGCGCCCGCGGCTCCAGCCTCGGACTCGCCGCGTCGCTGTCGAACCGCACGAACGGCGAGTCGTCCACGTAGCCGACTTCGATGTACCGGGGCTCCCCGCGGCCGGGCCGGGACACGGCGGTGGCGAAATACCTCAGGGAGTGGGAGCCTGGCGGGGAGGGGCTGAGACTCGGCCCGACGCTCCCCCCGACGCGGATTCCCCGGCCCGAGGCGGACGACGGGAGGGGGGAGGGGGCGAGGGCTCGGGCGGCGGAAAGAGGCGGCGGGAGGGGGGTGGGCAGGGTCCGGGCGGCGTAGACGCGGCCTCCCGGGTCCCGCGCTCCCGCGGGCCGGTCTCCCCCTCCCCACCAGAGGCCGTTTCCCTCCCGCCCCGCACTCACCCGCCCGGGTCGCGGTCAGGGCCAGGGCCCCCGAGAGCAGCAGGAGGAGGGCGCGGGGCGCCGTGGCCGGCATCTTCGGGTCAGAGGAGACTCCAGGTTCCGGCGGGGCCGTGGGGACTTTATAGCCGGACCCGCGGCCACGCTGATTGGCTTCGCCGCAAACCCGACTCCCAGTGGGAGGGAGACGTGCGGCCGCGTCACGAGTATCCGGGAGGAAGGGCCCGACGCAGGTTGGGCGAGAAGTGAAACTCCGGGCTTGGGGATTTTCTCTTTAAACCTGGAGTTGTGTCTGAAAGCACCAGAGAAAGAATCTCCTCGAGACCAGTTTCCTTTTTGTTAATTAATTACTGAGGGCAGCACAATCTCGGTAACCCCCGAGTGATCAGGAATCTTATTTGTAAAAGAAGTCACTTCGGCCCCTACACAGGTAAATGTGTCTAAACAGCATTGCAATCACATGAAGTTCCCAAGTTTATTTTCCTAGTCTAGGTCTCTGTGACTCTAGGTTTTTGAACTTTAAATTTATCTCCATTCCATAGCCCCGAGTTTCTGTGTGTGAGTCCTGGACACGTACAGATACAAAGAAGCACGACTTGTTACTGTGTGTTGCAGCCAGGAGCCTGCCCAGACTGTAACCACCTCGGAGCTGCAAGGGCTCAGTGCAGTCCCAATGCCCTTCACCAGTGCTGCTGCACTGCGGGTCTTCGTGGATGACCCACGTCTGAGGTGTGTGGGTATTTGATGGGGGCACTTGGTATTTTTGAACCCGATTCACATACGGACACTTGTTTATAGGCAGTCCCACAACTGTATTAATGAACAAATGCAAAGGACACCTGGCTAGGCTCAGTAGATAGATGTATAAAAACTTTATAAAACACTGTGTTTAAATCGGAGAATTCCACTGCTTTACAATGCTTCCCCCTGCTCCTTTTCCTCACCTGCTTCTCCAGCCCCTCTCTCTTTCCTTCCCATCCCTCAGCTCCTCTTCTTCGCTTAGTCCCCACAGCCCTTCACTACCGAATTATGACGTTAGCGCTGTCCTCTCACCTGCTACCCGAATATTCTCCCCACAGCGGTCAGCAGTCCTGCTAATGTGAATCATGTCATGACATTTGTGTGACTTAAAACGCTCCAGCGTCTCCAGGTCACTCTTCTGAAACCTCTAGAATGTGAGGCACATGAGCACAGGGACTTAGGGCTGTCTTGGTCTAAGTCATATCTGCAGCATATAAAGTCAAACCTGGTGCCTAGAAGGCATGAAATTACTTTTTGTTCAATGAAGAAATGAAATACTGTATTAAAATGTCATTGCATCACATAAAATTATAAGTGAAAAAGCACTAAGAATGGTAGGAAAGGTTATTTCATGCATACCATGAACTGTGTGTATCATTTCATAAATTCATTTCAGTGGAGGAAATTTGTGATTATCTATTGAGGCTGTGTATTGACTTTCTATTACTGTATAAGATATTACTATAAACTAGATGGCTTTAAACTACACCCATTTATATGTTTACATTTTCTTTTTTTCCTTCTTTTAAAAATTTTATTTTAAAGATGTGGTGTACAATTCAGATTAGAGATACAAATGGTCATTGTACAGGTAAAGTTTGGGCTTTTGGTTCTCACTTTGCCTGGTTAGATATCTGGTACCCTTATTGAAGAAATGTGTGCCCCTCCTCTCCTCTCCTCTCCTGGCAGTTTCCCATTACTACCAACTCCTTTCTGACTGTAGTATGATAATTGCTCAGGGTCTGCTTATGAGTGAGAACATGTGGTGCTCCGTTCCTTGTTTTTGTGATAGATCACTGAGTATTACAGACACTAAATGCGCACAAGTTGCTGTGAAGTTCACAATTTTTTCCTTATTTATGGCTGTGTAATAGTCCATCATGTATATATCCCACATTTAAAAAAATCCAGTCCACTTTCAATGAGCAAACAGTTGGTCCCATGTTTTTGCTATTGCAAATAATGCTGCAATAAACATGCATGTGCAGGTATTGCTTTCATAGAGTGATTTGAGTTCCTCCAAGTGTAGTCCCAGAAGGGGGATTGCTGGGTCTTATGGAAGATTGATTTTTAGAACTTTTAGAAATCGCCACACTGTTTTCCACAGAGGTTGTACTAGTTTACACTCCCCTTTTCCCCACATCCTCTCCAGCATTTGTTGTTTTTTGAGTTATTGATGATAGACATCTTGACTAGAGGTAGGTGGAATATCAGTGCATTTTAATTTGCATTTATTTGATGATTACTGAGGCTGAGCATTTTTTCACTTCTTTTTTGGCTGCTTGTTTTTTAGCTCATTGTTAAGACACTTATTTTAAGAAGCATTTATTCCTATCTTTTGCCCATTTAAAAAATAGGGCTATCTGTTTTTTTTCTTTTTTGGCATGTTTGAATTCCTTGTAGATCCTGGAGATTAAGACTTTGTCAGATACACAGTTGGCAAATATTGTTTTTTCCCATATGTGGGCTCTCTCCTCACTCTCTTGATGATATCTTTTTCTTTTTTCTTTGCAGAAGTTTTTTAGTTTGATAGGGTCCCACTTGTCTGTCTTATCTGTATGGCATGGGCATTTGGGGTTTTGATCAGGAATTGATTGCCTATTCCAACTTCCATAGGGTGTCTCCTGCATTGTCTAAGGTTCTTATAGTCTGAGGTTTTGTGTTAGGTTTTTGATCCATTTAGAGTTGATTTTTGTGTATGGTGATAGGTAGGGGGTCTTGTTTTAGTCTTGTGCATGTGTTCAGCCAGTTTTCCCAGCATCGTTTACTGAATAAGTTCTCCTCTCCAGTGATTGTTAGTGGAGGCTTTGTTGAAGATGAGTTGGTTGAGAAATTGAGGTTTTGCTTCCTTGATCTCTACCCTGTTCCATTGGTTCATATGCCTGTTCTTGTACCAATACCAGGCTGTTTTGATTATTAGAGCTTTATATTAAAGTTTAAAGTCTGGAAATGTGATACCCCCTGCTTTGTTTCTTTTGCTGAGGATTGTTTTGAACATTCGTGGTCATTTATGTTTCCATATGAATTTCTGTATTGTTGTTTTAAGGTCTGAGAAGATCGATGTTGGTAATTTAGTGGGTATTTTGTTAAATCTGTAGATTGCCTTGGGTAGGATGGACAGCTTAGCAATGTTGATTCTTTCACTCCATGAGCATGGAATATTTCTCCATCTGTTTTCATGTCATCTTTGATTGCTTTGAACAGTGTTTTGCAAATTTTTGTTGTAAAGGTCTTTCACTTCTCTGGTTAGGAAGATGTCAAGGAATTTCTTTTTGTTGTTGTTGTTGTTGCACTTGTGAATGGGATTGTGCTTTTTTTATTTGGTTCTCTGCCTGTTTGTTTTTGGTGTATAAGAATATCACTGTCTTTTGCATGTTAATTTTGTACACTGAGACTTTGCCAAAGTCCTTTATCAGTGTAAGGAGGTCTTTGACAGATTCTCTTGGATTTTCAAGGTATAGGATCATATCATCACCAAAGAGGAATAACTTGACTTCTTTTCCAGTTTGGATACCCCTGATTTCCTTCTCTTGTCTGATTTGTTTACATTTTCTTGGCCAGAAATTCAGGCATGATGTGGATAGGTTCTCTGGTAAGGATTTTTTAAAGCTGTGTCCTCATCTTGATGTTGGGGTCCTCCCCGAGGTTATATACGGCCTGTGGGAAGAATTGGCTTTTTGACTTTTGTAAGACTGAGGTCCCTATTTCCTTGTCAGCTGTCAGGGTGCAAGTTATGTTAGTTATCTACTGCTGCATGAAAAATTCCCTAAACTGAGCAGCTAAAAACAACAAATTTGTGTTATTTGTCACAACTTTTGATGCTCAGGAGGTTTTCCTGAATGCTTCTGGCTTAGGGGCCCTCACGACATGCTGCATCACCTGAGGGCTCAACTGGGGCTGGGGACTCACATGAAACCTGGCTCACTCACATGGCAGTTGGAACAGGCCTCAGTCCCTGGTAATTTGGTGCCAGGAGACCTCACTTCACAGCCACATGGACCTTTCCCCAGGGCTGCTTATGACATGACAGCTGGCTTCCCACATAGCTCGGGATCCCAGAGAGAGAACCAAGGTGGAAGCCGCAGTGAATTTTATGTTCTACACACAGAGTCATAAATGATTACATTACTCTGTCTGTTAAAAGGGAATAATTAAGTCCAGACCACACTCATAGGGAGGAAATCAAGTTGCACTTCTGGAATGTAGGACCACCCAAAAATTTAATACATGTTAAAAGCAAAATTGAAATTGTTGTTTCAGGATTTGTATGTATCATGTATTTCTTTCATCTGATTTTTTTAATGCTATGAACTTCTCTTCTTAATGTAATGATTAAAAGCTGGAGACATCACAGAGCATTAGGTACTGGGGGAAAAAGCTTGAGATGCAAACACAATATCTCTATTTTTTTCATGTAAATACCTTTAAAACTAATGTCCTTGTCAATAAATTTCAACAAAATTGTGCATATAGAGTAGCTAGAGCAAATAGTTCCAAGACTTCAGTGCCATAACAAGGCCTTGGTTATTTGAACTATCTTTGTTTTTCACAAGACATTTCTAATAGAGTTTAAGAAGTTCATATATACCAGTTTGCATAGTCGGATATCATCTTAAAAAATACTTGCCTAATCAGACTTCTTTTCAGTTAGAAAAATTGAAACTCCTACCTCAATCTATATACCTTAGCATCGTGACAACTTCGGCTTGATACAGCAGGCGGAATTGTTTAACTCTAATCTAGTAATAAGGCTATTCAGTGGGCAGTCTATAATAAATTTAACATCTTTCTTTCACTGTGTTTTTTGTTTTGTTTTGTTTTGTTTTTGTTTTTTGTTTGTTTTTTGGGGTTTTTTTGAGTTGGAGTCTCACTCTGTTGCCCAGACTTGAGTGCAGTGGCTGCTCCTGGCCACCGCAGCCTTGACCTGATGAGCTTCGGCAATCCTTCCACCTCAGCCTTCCAAGTAGCCGGAATTACAGTCACGCGCTACCACGCCCAGCTGATTTTTTGATTTATTGTAGAGATGAGGTCTCGCTGCCCAGGAGGGTCTTGAACCCACGAGCTCAGGCA